GAGCATGTAGAGAATACAAATGGAAATATCAAAATAGTTTCCAATGGTACCTCATAGAAGCCATCGTTGAGGTAAATGCCCGTCATCCACACTTATTGCATTGGTGATAACTCTTCTGTAGAAAGGAGAAAAACAATTAGAGCAATCAGAACCCTTCACAAATAAAAGTTTCTCTTTGGCCTCATTTGCAGCCATGTTAAGGAAACATAGCTCATAACAAATACTTGTAAAAAAATATAAAAATATAAAAAACTTTTCTATTTGGTGAAAACTTTATTGACTTGAAAACAAGCCACAATTGCGAACAAATAATCTGAATTTTTCATATCACGATTTTCCTTAAGAAGCGAAAATGCTATTTGATTAAGCACAGTCTGATTGGGATTTCATGAACACTAATCCCTTTTTTTTTGAATCCCAAAAAAAAAATAAAAAAAATTACTTTTGAAACGCAATCCATACAATTACGAAACAAATAATTTTGGATTTCAAAACCAAAAATTAATCAATTAAGCCATGATACCAATCTATCAGATGATTTCAATGTGGAATCCAAATTATTCGATTCGAATTTGATTCAATTGCTAATGAAACACAATGATTTGATTACTTCTAGGTCTGCAGCAACAATTTATGAGACAATTTCATGAACAGTAGACCGTACATTCACGTAATTCACAAAACATGCCAAATAGCTCTGTTAAACCCTAAAGTTCCAGCAATCAAGAGTAATTCAACAAAAATAATCTAGTGAAGAAAGCAATATACAGGTATGTGTGTGCATATATACATACATACATAGAGAGAGAGAGAGAGAGAGAGAGAGAGAGAGCTCACTTCTTCCTCTTCTTGCAGAGAAAAAGAGTCGTGATTGTGTTTCCCGCGTTTTGGAGTACTGGGTTTTTCAACGGGGGTGAGAGATTTGGCCCGTTTGGATTTTCAGAATTTATTTCAGAAAAAAATATTAAAAATTAAATTAATTTAGTGAGAATTTTTTTAAAAAAATAATTATATTTTTATGGGGGATGCATCAATAAATCCCAAATTAATAACTTATGCACTGTTTAGTCCTAAAAGATTTCTTATAGACGGAAAGGTCCCATTACAATGTTAATAACATCAGATACAATGTTAATAACATCAGAGTCATGTTACAAACATTGGATTTCAAACATCTAATGTTCATTAAATTTCAATAATGTTTGAAAATATAGGATGAAAAACATCTAATGTTCATCAGATTTCAATAAATTTTGAAATTATAGAATGAAATATCAGATCATTTACATCATTCACATCATGTTGATGTAAAAATGGGACTAAATGGAGCATAAGAAAACTTTTAGGACTAAATGGTTCAACGTTTCAAAAACTAGGACTTATGGGTAAATTTTCCTATTTTTATATAGTTTTATTTTGGAGGTTTTTTTTTAAGTCCTGATATTAAAATTTTATAGTATAAAGGACATTTAGTATTTTCATAATGTCTAAGATCTCTCAATATTGATTTAGAAATATTTCAATCTAGAAAAATTATCTCTAGAGAAATTATGGACATTCCAAAGAATTTCTCTTTTATTTGGGTTCAAACCAAAGAAAATTCAAATTTCTCTGAGTTTAAATTAGAAAAAATTAAATAACACAGAGAAAATTAAACAGGGTTGAGAAAATTACCTGGAGATAATTGAAATTTCTCTGAGTTCAAACTAGAAAAATTCAGAGATAATTAAATAATATAGAGAAAATTAAACAGAGCAGAGAAAATTTTTAATGGGACTAAATGGAGCATAAGAAAACTTTTAGGACTAAATGGTTCAACGTTTCAAAAACTAGGACTTATGGGTAAATTTTCCTATTTTTATATAGTTTTATTTTGGAGGTTTTTTTTTAAGTCCTGATATTAAGATTTTATAGTATAAAGGACATTTAGTATTTTCATAATGTCTAAGATCTCTCAATATTGATTTAGAAAAATTTCAATCTAGAAAAATTATCTCTAGAGAAATTATGGACATTCCAAAAAATTTCTCTTTTATTTGGGTTCAAACCAAAGAAAATTCAAATTTTTCTGAGTTTAAATTAGAAAAAATTGAATAACACAGAGAAAATTAAACAGGGTTGAGAAAATTACCCGGAGATAATTGAAATTTCTCTGAGTTCAAACTAGAAAAATTCAGAGATAATTAAATAATATAGAGAAAATTAAACAAAACAGAGAAAATTTGTGACATCTGAATTTTTAATTTAATTCAATACCGTGATGACATCAATCACTCATAAGTAGACAATATATATATATAAATATATATAATAATAAATAATGAGTAATTAATAAATAGAATTCTTTATTATATCAAAAAAAAGTGAATTAGTGGAAGCTTGTGGTTTAAAAACAATAAAAATAAAAATAAAAATAAAAATAAAAATAAAATATTTGAATAAGCGGTAAGTGATGTTATATAGTTTGTTGGTGAGATTTTTGGACGTGAACCTAGTTAATAATCATAAATAAAATAAAATAAAATAAATAAAAACACACAACTTTGCCGAAGAGTAATGACTCTTAGAATGGTAAAAAGGTCCAGGATTTAGTGGCTGGTAAAAATGACAAGGGGTTAGTGGCTCTTGGACAAATTCATGGGGCAATAATACAGGTGACATCACTTCTCCTAACCAACAGAGTAGAAACGTAGTTGAGAAAAGGAGCAATGTGGCAATCATAGAGCTTAGGACTTGCGTAGCAAGCAAGAGAATGGGCCTATAAATAGTGAAGTATCAGTGCACTAAGCTTCGAAAAAGTAAGGCCAAGAAATTAGAACCCATTCGTAGTGAGGTACCAGTGAGCTTCGAGAAGTGAAAGAGTATAGCTAAGAGTTGTAGTAGAAAACTCAAAGTTAAGGATCAATCTTAAAGTGAGTTATATTATACCTTAAGTTACCATAATGTGTTTTCTATATGTCTTGAGTCACCATAATATATTTTACGAATGTTTTGAGTTACCACAATTTATTTTATATATTTATGTTTTGTAGTTATATTAATGTTTCAATTATGTGGAATATTTTTTGACCTCTATTTGCTTAAATGGAAACTTATGGATATGTTTATTTAAATTTTAGAAAGTATTTGACAAAGATCTTGTAAACAATTATTTTCTGTAAGTACCACCATGAGAGTTTCATATCTTGGGGGACTTAAATAACCATTGACCCATGTTTGGCCACTTTGTGGTTCTTTGTTTGTCATGGATCCATTGACCCATGTTCTGATTGTCACTCCAGTGACCTCTGTTCTGTTCTATCCTGTACCGTGGTTGTAGTTATTTACATAATTTTTGTATTTAGTTTCTGTCACGTAATTAATTTGTTTATTCAACTTAAATTATGTTAATGTTTTAGCTTAAATAACTATTCATCGTTATTTTGTACCCCTATATTCACAATATAATATTTATCACTCTGTTATGTGCTTATAGTTGTTACCTCTATCAGGTGACGAGATTTAGCAGGATCAATATAGGAAATAAACCACAGTGTTTTCTCTCTTTTTTTGTGTTATATGTATTTCTAATTGGACACCTAGAATAAAATAAAAGCCCAAATGACTATGTTTTTTTCTTTTTAATAAACATTTGATACATAATTATTTTATTTTAATTTATCTGCTTGTGCTGCGACTACAAAATTATTAGAATTATTTTATTTTTATCTTGTTGCGACGCTAAGCCTTTGGGTACCAGGTTTGGGTCGTGACAAAAATGGTATCAGAGCAATGGTTTTGGGCACAAAAAAAAAATAATAATAAATTTAACCTCATATTATTATTATGGTATATTTTTCCAAAACAAAAAAATTAATTAATTAATTAATTAAATTGCCTAACATAAGTAAACCGTGTTATAAATATTTCTGGGTTAAGTTTTCCTGTGGTGTAAGGAACAGCAAACCTTGGAGAGGAGAGGGCATGAATATCCTAGCAGCCACATTCGCACTATGACACTTCCTCCACAGCACATTGTCCAGACCCTGACTGTGGACTTCACTGACAGTGTATCATACTTGGAGATACCGGTGCGGATTACTGGACAGGAGTTTTGGGGTTATGATCACGGTATTCCTGTCTACATAGTCCGGGTAGTATGGCGGTGCTTTGGAGTAGAGCTCAGTGGGTGGGAGTTTAAGCCCCTCATGCAAAGTGAATTCACAGGGTTATTTTGTGGGCCAGTTTTCTAGAACCAGTTCTCATGGTGGTTGTAACGACCCCATTATATATAATGATTAGAACTTAATTAATTAAGGAGATTTAGATTTTAATTGCCAATTATTCTAATTTAATCTGAGATTTATGAAAATTATAGAGACTAATTCTATTGATGATTTATTTTGGAATTAGAAATTGAAAGCCTAGATGGCTCGAGAAAGTATAATTGGTGAATGAATTATTTTAATTTGGAGTATCGGACTATATGGGAGTTTAATTAAATATTCGATTTAGATTTATAAAATTGAGATTTAATTAATTGGGTCCGAATTTGAGTTAATTAAGTTAAGAGGATTGGGAACTAAGATTATTATGAATTAAATTCATTTATGTGGTGCCTAATTTGAATATGTAATTTATTGACGAAATTTTGAGTCCGATCAGAAATTGAAGGCTTAAATGATTTAAGAAACTAAAATTGAGGATGAAAATAAGTTTAATTTAATATTTGGAGCATTTTGGGAGTCTGATTAAAAATCATATTCAGAATGGCAAAGATTAAATATAATTAATTGGGCTATAATAGAAGTCAAATTAGACTGAGTATATTATGTGGGATTTTAATTAGTTGTGATTAATTAAATTATGTACTAATCAAGTGTTAATTATAATTAGTTAAGACAAAAGTGGGGTTTAATTAAGTCAATGCATAAATTAGTAACTTAGTTAATTTTAGAATCTTCTAATCTTGTTGTATTGGAACCTTGTGCACGTCTGAATAGTGTGGAATCAAGGAGTGGGTTTGTGTATATGTGGTGCCAATTTCAAGTGAAGAAGTGGGCTTACTCCTTCTGCCTCTTCAGAAACTGTTTTTTTTAAATACGATTTGGAGAGGGAGAGAAGAACCGAGAGAGAGAAGTCAAACCATTTTGCTAGAAAAAGCTTTGGAGAAATGGGTTTAAGAGATCTAAATGAAGATAAGAGAGGGAATTCAAGGAATTAGAAAGAAATTCAGCCATTGAAGGTTAAAGGTAAGGATTTCAACCTTGATTTTTGTAGAATTCTTGTATCATACTTGGAATTAAAGATGAGTTTGACTCAATTTCATGTAATTAAAAGGGTATTAGCAAGAAGATGATGGAATTAAATTAGATTCATGGTTATGAAATAAATTTAGGAATTAATTATTTTAGGTTTGATTTTGGAATATCATGCATGAATTTGAGTCAAATTTTTACATGCATGAACAAACTCTACAAGTCTCAATATTTTTACTCTAATTATACATGCATCTTAGATGTTTAAAAGATTTGAAGGATTAATTCTATGTTTGGGTATAAGAAAAGCAAGTTTTGGGAAAATATGAATTCATGAACATTTTGAACTTACTATTGAATTAAAGGAATTTTGGATATAATTGGTTTGAATTTTGATCCTGATTTCACACATGCAAATTTTTTTTTAAGAGTTTTATAACTTTAATTTCATGTTTTAGATAATCCTCCTTGCATCATGAATTAATGGAATTAGTCTCATGGATTTTGTAAGAAACCAGATTTTAAGTAAGAATTAAGTAGACTCATAGTTGTGGAAATTAATTTGGAAAATTAATTGTTTGGGTTTGATTTTGTAGTATTTTCTTGTAATACATGAGTTTTTAAGGGAATTGAGCCATTCAACTTCATATTTGGGAGAGATAAAGGAAATGTTTTAAGAAAATCAAGTTTATGGAAATTTAGAATTAATCCTAAAGTTTTGATTTTATAATTAAATTTTTAATCCATGCATGTAAGGTAATTTAAGAGTTTTATTCAACTTAGACACATTTTAGAACATCTATGATTATAAATTAAGTTTTGGTTAAAAATTTGAGTTAAGTTGAATTTCTAAGAAATTGATTTGTGTAATTCATAGTTAAGTTGATTTTTGTTAATAATAGAATTGGGTTCTATTTTTTTTATATATACATCATGAAATTTCAAGAGTTTGGAAAGTCTAATTCATGTTTTAAAATTGTGGGTTTGATATAAAAAAAATGAGTTAAATCTAAATTTGGACAATTGGAGTATGATTTGAATAAATGATTTCTTTGGGAGTGTCTACTAAATTATACAATGGTTCTCCATGATTTTGTACCAAAAACACAAGTTTTGAGGCTTTGAGTATCAACCTTGAAGATCAAACACAGTTCTGGAAATTCCAGAATTCATGTTGTACACTTGAGCGAGGAAAGCTCCGCTCGAGCGTGAAAATTGAGCTCTCAGAAGTTTTGCAAAATTTTACTGTCTGCTCGAGCGACCAAAGTGGCGCTCGAGCGAAGACCCTATTTTCAGCATATTTTGAAAAATTGCATTTAATTCACATTTTTATTCTCATATCTTTCCAAAGCATTCTAGACATGTTTTATGGCTCAATAAGGATTTATAAGCTAACAAACAACATTAATTAGTTGATTAAAGAATAAGTCATTAACTTAGTGACACTTGATTAAGAAGCCAATTGAGGAATTGGTTTATTCAAAAAAGAATGATTTAGTAATAAAAGGAATCTGTGAAATGAGAACCCGATTCATTTGACTAAAGAAAGAATAAGCATAATAGGCCTTCGAATTATTTAGACAGAAAACAAGAAAGTCGAGTTTGATCAAGGGAGTAATATTGTGCTTCAATATGTATATGTTATGTGTTTGTGTAGGTCACGTGCTATTATCTGCTTGATCTGTCTGATCTGCTTCTGCTACTATCTGCGAGTAATAACTTAGTAAAGTTATGTTCATCTTTATTTATTTTCTGCATGATAAAATAAGATCTGTTTTCTGAAATGTTATATTATGTACAATGAATGATTGTCCAATTTCTGACATGTACTCTTGGCATCCTTAGCATCATGTGATATCTGTTAACTGTTACCCGGTATCGAAGGTTCCGTTATGGGACTTATTATATCTGTCATCTATTACCCGTACTGGAGGCTCTATCATGGAGCCCAGCATGTATATTCTTTATTACCTGGTATCGGAGGTTCTATTATGGAACTTATTATGTCTGTCATCTGTTACCCGTACCGGAGGCTTCATCATGGGGCTCAACATGTTTATGCTCTGTTACCCGGATCCGGAGGTTCCTTTATGGAACTGGTTATTCATAACCACCACACGTTCTACATCTGTTCTGTATCTGCTCTGTTAGCGCTAATGGATGTACCACGTATGATTAAGTATGAATTATGATTTCTGTATATGATCTGAACAAAAATATGAATCTGAATCTATTGTGAATCTGAATTATGATTTATGAATCTGTACGGACTTCATTCATTAAAACCCTTTACTCTGTTATTATTCACTGAGCTCTAGCTCACTGTATTATTTATGTATGTAGGTGATCAGGCTCGTGACCAGGCTTAGAGGCATCTGTCTGGGATCTATTTTTTGTCAGCCGCCCTATGTGCCTTCCGTGGAGGTTCCGGATATGTCAAGTGACTATGGCTATGTGATTTAAAGTTTAAGTTCTGTTTTCTTGTTTGGTTAAACAAGTCTTGTGTATTTTGTAAATGGGGCTAAGTCCCTTTTTGTCTAATCTGTATATATATATTATGACGTAAGGATGATGGATATATATGTACATAAAAAGATTAAAGTTTTTCTGTCTCATATAAGTCTGCACAGCTCAATGGACCTTTTATATTTGTTATTTGCTTCTGTTAGCCCCTAATATTATGTTAATTTGTCTCAGAGGCCTTCTGTAATCCCAGAATTACTGGCCGTTACGATGCTAAACCTATAGGGGCAGGTTTGGGTCATGACAATGGCCTAATGATCCCTTTTAGACATCTGACCAGGAGGTCCTTTTTTTTGTGACCTAACCATGATTAGTCTAATCCTTCTGTTTTTGTATTAATAGGATTAGACACTAACTCTTGACTGTATTTTAAGTACATTGTAGTAATATGTTTTCTTTTGCATAAGTAAAAATGATATATGTACCATTATAGTATCTTGTGAATCATAGATATTATATCGTGATATGTACTGTTATAGTATCTTGTGAATCATAGATAATTAAATGTATACGAAATGGTTCAAAAAAAAAAAGGGAGTTCACTAATCATTTTCACCTTGTAGTAATGGCTAATAATGGAAATGGAACTTGATCATCAGTCAGTGGTACTGATCCAATGGAGCAAATCATGGAAAAAGCAGTTACTAGTTTTCTGCGAGCCCTACAAACCAACATTAATAACGGATTGCTTGAACGACGAGAAGTGCCAACTACTATAAAATAGTTCCAGGACTTGAAACCTACAATATTCACTGGCAGTACAAACCCACTGGTGGCAGAAGCTTGGGTCAAAGATATAGAGAAAATTTCCCGCGTGCTATCTTGCACAAAAAAACAGAAGGTGACTTTCGCCACATTCACCTTCAAAGACGATTCACAAGAATAGTGGCTTCTTACCCTGGAGAAAGAAGATATTGTGACTTGGGCAAGATTCTTGGAGGTATTTTATGAAAAATGCTTTCTAGATTCACTGCGGGAACAAAAGGCGACAGAATTCATACATCTAAGGAAAGGAACCATGACAGTGGCCAAATATGAGAGCAAGTTCATGCAACTGGCTCGATTTACGACATACGTCATCCCATCAAAACTTGAGAAGCCAGGAAATTTGAAATAGGATTGGATGCTAAAATCAGGGACAACCTGGAGGTTTTGAATCTACCAACTTATGCGGAGGTGGTGGATCGAGCATACATTGCGGAAAAAGGGATTAAATCCTTGCACTCTTGAGAACCAAGCCAAATGAAGCGAGTTTGGGAAAGAGATAACAGAAGACCCGGTGTCACGCCTCCCAATAGGGTAAATACAGGCACAACCAGTTCAAACAATCAAGGTCCCACAAATCCCAGAGGTGGCACCATTTCAACTTGCTCTACCTGTGAAAGGACTCATTGGGGACAATATCGTCGAGACACGGGAGCATGCTTTAAATGTGGCCAAGTTGGCCACTTGCTGAGAGATTGTCCAAAGCTTGCCAATCCTACAACCGGCCCCTCTAAACCAGTCCGAAAACCCACGGTACCTGGAGGAGTAAGGAAGGACCAAAAACGCCAAGGAAGAGCTTTTGCCCTGGTATCTGGAAACCAGAAGTTACTGAGAATGTTGTGTCAAGTACATTTTCTATTTGTGGTCACTGAGCTCATGTTCTCTTTGACTCTGGTTCAACTCATTCTTTTGTTACACTACACTTTGTTACCAAGTTGACATCAACACCCGAACCCGTAGGATATATATTATCTGTGTCTTTTCCTTCTGGTAACTCCACCCTTAGTACTAATGTGTACAAATCTTGTACTGTATCCTTAAAAGGAGAAACCTTACACGTAGACTTGATTTCCCTTTGCATTAGTACCTTTGATGTGATCTTAAGAATGGATTGGTTAGCTGCCAACCATGCCTCTATTGATTGTGAAACCAAAAAGGTCTTCCTCTAGTCACCAAACCAACTCGAGTTTGTCTTTGATGGAACTAGAGTCTCCAACCCTCCCTGTATTATATCCTCCATGACAGCCCAACGACTTCTAAAAAAGGATTGTGGTAGTTAATTTTTTATCTGATCGATACACACAACAAGAGGCCCCCATACTTGATGAAATCCCTGTGGTACGAGAATTCTCGGATGTATTTCCTGAAGACCTGCATCGTACTCCGGTTGACCGAGAAATCAAATTCACCATTGAAACCCAACTTGGTACACAACCAATCTCAAAAGCTCCTTACCGCATGTCCATGACAAAGAGCTGAAAACTCAACTCCAGGAACTTTTGGACAAAGGTTTCATTCAACCAAGTACCTCACCATGGGGAGCTCCATTACTATTCGTAAAGAAAAAGGATGGCACGATAAGGTTATGCATCGATTACCATAAACTAAATAAAGTCACCATAAAAAATCGGTACCCTCTGCCATGAATTAACGACTTGTTCGATCAACTGCAAGTCGCTCAAGTATTCTCGAAAATTGACTTGTGTTCTGGCTACCATCAACTAAAAGTCAAAACGGAAAGTATTGAAAAGACTGCCTTCAGAACTCGTTACGGGCACTACGAGTTTCTCGTCATGCCATTTGGCGTCACAAATGCTCCAGTGGCCTTCATAGACCTCATGAATCGAGTGTTCAAACCCTATCTTGACGAGTTCATCATTGTCTTCATTGACGACATTCTCATATACTCCAAATCGCTAGAAGATCATGAGCACCACTTGCGAAGAGTTTTACAGACACTACGTGATCACAAGCTTTATGTCGAGGTGAAGAAATGTGACTTCTGGATCACTAGTGTACACTTCCTCGATCACAGCATCAATAAAGATGGCATCTCAGTTGACTCCCAAAAGATTGCAGCAATCGTGGATTGGCCATGACCTACTAACGTGTCCGAGATTCAAAGTTTCTTGGGTCTAGCCGGCTATTACCGGCGCTTTGTGCAAGATTTCTCGAAGATAACATCACCCTTGACCCAGCTAACTCAGAAGAACACACCCTTTGAATGGACTGACAAACAAGAACGTTGCTTCTAAGAATTGAAAAACAGACTCGTGACGACTCCTATACTAGCACTCCCTGTGGAAACAGAAAGGTTCGTAATTTATAGTAATGCTTCATACAATGGTTTGGGTTGCGTTCTTATGCAAAATGGGAAGGTCATTGCATATGCCTCACGTCAACTAAAGGCCCACGAGAAGAACTACCCAACCCATGATCTAGAATTTGCTGCAGTAATCTTTGCCCTCAAAATCTGGCGTCATTATCTATACGGAGTAACCTGCAAAATTTACACAGATTACAAGAGTCTCAAATATCTGTTTACACAAAAGGAACTGAATATGAGGCAACGATGATGGTTAGAATTTATGAAGGACTACGATATAGAGATCCATCATCATCCCGGCAATGCTAACGTAGTAGCAGAAGCATTAAGTCAAAAGACGACCAAAAGTTTGGCATGTAACCTCGTTCCCCGAAAGATCAATGGACTGCTTGCCAACATAATCATGGAACTCAAGCTGATTGAAGAAGTTAGAGTTCGCCAATGTGAAGATAAACTTTTGAAGAAAAAGTACAAGGAACAAGCAGACACGCCCGATCCTGACTTCACAATAAGCAATAGGATGCTAAAATTTCTAAATCGAATTTGCGTACCCAACCTTTCAAAACTTAAGAAAAGATATTGGTAGAAACTCATAGCTCAAAGTTTGCGATCTACACTGGCAATACAAAGATGTATCACAATATGAAGGAACGCTTCTAGTAGACAAGAATGAAGAAAGACATAGCAAGCCACGTCTCCAAATGCCTACATTATCAACGGGTTAAAGTAGAACATCAGAGACCTACAGGAATTTTGCAACCACTCCTCATTCTTGAATGAAAATGGGAGCACATTACTATGGACTTCGTGGTCGCGCTACTGCAATTAGTCCCGAAGAATAATGCAATATGGGTTATCGTAGATCGATTGACAAAGTCGACGCGTTTTCTACCAATCAGAATCATGTACTCCCTCTCTAAGTTCGCTACTTTATACATTAAGGAAATCATTCATTTGCACGGCACCCCAGTTTCAATTGTATCCGATAGAGACCCCCGCTTTGTGTCTCACTTCTGGAACAAATTACAAGAAGCTTTGGAAACCACTCTGAAGTTTAGCATGTCTTATCACCCACAAACCAATGGACAATCTGAAAGAACAATCTAGACTTTAGAAGATATATTATGTGTGTGTGCGCTAAATCTCAAAGGTAATTGGGATGATCACCTACCTTTGGTGGACTTCACCTATAATAATAGCTATTATGCAAGCATTGGAATAGCACAATACGAGGCACTATATAAAAGAAAATATCAATCACCTCTGTGTTGGACGGAAGTCGGAGACAGGAAACTGTTAGGCCCCAAAATCGTGCAAATAACGAGCGATAAAATTCAACTCATCCAATAACGAATTTGCACTGCCCAGAGTCGCCAAAAAAGCTATGCAGATACACGGAGACGGGACTTAGAATTTCAAATAGAAGATCATGTGTTTCTAAAGATTTCATCAACAAGAGAGGTTATCCAATTTGGAAAACGAGGAAAGTTAAACCCACGTTACATCGGGGCCATTCGAGATACTAGAAAGGATTGATCATGTGACATATCGCCTTGCACTTCCACCCAAACTTTCCAATGTCCACAATGTGTTTCACGTTTCAATGCTTCGTCGATATCTTCGGGATCCAGAGCATGTTGTCGATTATGAGAACCTAGAAGTTCAAGAAGACCTCTCTCATGAAGAACAACCTGTACAAATTCTCGATCATCGTGATCAGATCCTTCAAAACAAGACCATACCTCTTGTAAAAGTCATATAGAGAAACCATCGTATCGAAGAAGCAACATGGGAAACTGAAAGCCAAATGCGAACCAAGTACCCACACCTCTTCGAAAAACAAGGTATGACAAGTTTGAGGACAAACTTCTTTTAAGGAGGGAAGAAATGTGACATCCGAATTTTTAATTTAATTCAATACCGTGATGATATCAATCACTCATAAGTAGGCAATATATATATATACATATATATATGTATATATATATAAAAGAAAAGAATTAATAAATAAATAATGAATAATTAATAAATAGAATTCCTTATTATATCAAAAAAAAGTGCATTAGTGGAAGCTTGTGGTTTAGAAACAACAAAAATAAATAAAATAAATAAAATATTTAAGTAAGCGGTAAGTGATATTGTATAGTTTGATGGTGAGATTTTTGGACGTGAACCTAATTAATAATCATAAAATCAAATAAAATAATAATAATAAAAAATAAAAATAAAAAAACACACAACTTTACCGAAGAGTAATAACTCTTAGAATGGTAAAAAGGTCCAGGATTTAGTGGCTGGAAAAAAGGACAAGAGGTTAGTGGCTCTTGAACAAATTCATGGGATAACAATACGGGTGACATCATTTCTCCTAACCAACAAAGTAGAAACGTGGTCGAGAAAGGGAGCAACGTGGCAATCATAGAGCTTAGGACTTGCGTAGCAAGCAAGAGAATGGGCCTATAAATAGTGAAGTATCAGTGCACTAAGCTTGAAAAAGTAAGGACGAGAAATTAGAACCCATTCATAATGAGGTACCAGTGAGCTTTGAGAAGTGAGAGAATATAGCTAGGAGTTGTAGCAGAAAACTCAAAGTTAAGGATCAATCTAAAGGTGAGTTATATTATACCTTGAGTTACCATAATGTGTTTTCTATATGTCTTGAGTCACTATAATATATTTTATGAATGTTTTGAGTTACCACAATTTATTTTATATAATTTATGTTTTGTAGTTATATTAATGTTTCAATTATGTGAAATATTTTCTGACCTCTATTTACTTAAATAGAAACCCATGGATATATTTATTTAAATTTTAGAAAATATTTGACAAAGATCTTGTAAACAATTATTTTCTGTAAGTACCACCACGGGAGTCCCATACATTGACCCTTATTTGGTCACTTTGTGATCCTCTGTTTGTTATGGATCCATTGACCCCTGTTTTAATTGTCACTCTAATGACCCCTGTTCTGTTCTGTCCTGTACCGTGGTTATAATTATTTACGTAATTTCTGTATTTCAGTTTCTACCACTTAATTAATTTTTTTATTCAACTTAAATTATATTAATGTTTTAGCTTAAATAATTATCCATGGTTATTTTGTACCCCTATACTCACAGTATAATATTTATCACTCTGCTATGTGCTTATAGCTGTTACCCCTTTCAGGTGACGAGATTTAGTAGGATTAAGATGGGGGATAAACCACAGTGCTTTTTTTTTTTGGATACTATCTGTATTTCTAATTGGACACATGGAATAAAATAAAAACCCAAATGACTATGTTTGTTTATTTTTAATAAACATTTGGTACCCAATTATTTTATTTTATTTTATTTTATTTATCCGCTTGCGCTATGACTACAAAATTGTTAGAATTATTTTATTTTTATTTTGTTGCAACGCCGAGCCTTTGGATACCAGGTTTGGGCCGTGACAACATTACCCAGAGAAAATTGATTAGAACAAAATATTAACAAGTTCCTATAATTTCCTCACCAAAATACTAAATTTTGTAAATTTATAGCCCAACTTCCTAACAATTTTTTTATTTTTATTTTTGATCAACCTTCAAAATCCAAACCCAAATCCAAATCCACAATTCACCAACTTAGCAAAATTACACAGCAAAACTGTAATACAAAACCAGAACTTCAACCCATTTCTTAACCAAAATAAGACTAAAATTCGTGAATTCGTAACCTAATTTCTCAAAAAAAAAAAGAATTTCCCAAAATTGGATCAAGCTTTGAACCCCAAAACCAAATCCAAACTCTGGTTAATTACCGAGAAATTTTCAGAAAATTTATCTGTGCTTTGACTAATTTTTTCTGGCTTGCTCATTATTTTCTTTATATTTTTTTATCTAAACAGAGAAAATTGAACAATCACTATCTTCATTTTGATCAATTTTTTCTAGACTGTAAGACACAATATTATTTTATGAAATCCAACGAAATTCCCCGAACACATCTTCGTCTTCATTCAAGAACAGGTCATCGTATTTGCAATCCTTGCCAGTTATTGACTGTCTTTTATATCTCCAGTGTCGATCTTCAAGCCTCAATTTGGTTCGGGACATGAACATTCTTGGCTTTCTCAGAACCAAATCATCATCGTTGTCTTCATCATTATCATCATCATCATCATCATCATCTTGAATTTAGGAAAATTTTATGGTCCGTCTTGGCATTGAATCACGAGTTTGGTTTAGAAATCGAAATTGTCACCAGATTAATCGCCAATCTCGAGCGTCACATCGTCACGGCCGCTTGAATCTGGGAATTGTTGAGCCATGTGATCATCTCTGTTGCTATAACAAACTTGCTATTGTTATTGGTGAGATTTATAGAATTCATGAAAGATATCAACAACACTGTGTTGATAAACATTGCAAGAACTGAGAAAGAATCTATTAAAAAAAAAAAGAGAGAAAAAGCTGTCGAAATCATGTTCAAACCCAAGATAACCACTAACTTAAAGACCTTATCTTTTTCTTTTTTTTCCTTATAAGAGCATCTCCAATGGTTGTTGCTATATTGGGGTTGTTATTGCTATAATTTGACAATAAATAGTATTATTTTGTCAAATTATAGCAATGATGCTCCAATGGTCATTTGTTATTTTTGGCAAATCTTAACCAACTTTCCCTCCAACTTTAGAGGTGTTGTTTGGATATAGGCTTTTTGTGATTTTATTTTTATTTATTTTTTGTCTTTTGTGACATTTTTTTATCTGTTTGTTAAAAAAATTATATATTTATATTATTTCCAAATTACGAATACACCCCATGAGGTTTGATTAAAATACGAATCGTCTTCTGTGATTTTGAAAATTACATTCCACCTCCTGAGGTTTCTATTTCATAACAAATCGCATTTTTATTAATAAATCATCAAGTCAATTAACAATTTTTAATAATGTTATAAATATGTTTCAATTAATAATTTAAGTAATTTTATTAGTGTATAGCAGAGTAATTATGAATTTTATTTTTTTAGTTAATTCTGTTAAATAAAAATTTTTAACAATGAGGTATTTGTAATTTTTCAAATCATAAGGAACAATTTGTACTTTAAACAAACCTCAAGGGAAGTATTTATAATTTATCTTTTTTTTTTAATCTAAAAATAATTTTAAAAAATTAAATAGCCATAATTTTGACCATTTTGATGATTTTTTATTTTGACTTCCGAAAAATAAAATAAAAAAACTTAGTTGACCAACATCACCTACCCAATTGGATTATCAACTGAGGAGGAAGTTGGCCATAAAACTAATGTAGAATTAAGTAAAATTTGCCCATTTTAATTATATTATTTTAAAATAAAAAATTCATTAAGATGCATTATGTTTCAAAAATGTCACTGTTTTATAATTCCACTCTATGTGATCAAAGTTATTTGACCATCTTTTACAACCATGAGTGTTGTGTTTAATCATAGAGTAGAACTAATCTCATCTCTAGTTTAGACTGTAAAGTCTGGTTTACATGATTGTAGCCTCATTTTAGACTTATTTTGATTATTTAAATTATTCAATCTATAAAGATCGCTAAGCAAATTGTGCACACACAAAAATCAACATATCAAATTACAATAGCGACCTTATCAGATTATATTTCTTCTTAAAAAAATAAAAAATAAATGGTAAGTATAATTTAAAAAATAGACAGTCAATTATTATTATACAAAAATAAATTGTTCATATGGTTACCGATACCAAATTAACTTAATAATTAATTTGCTCAATAAATTCTACACGTTGAGCGATTTACATCACCAAAATAATCAACAGATGAGCTCAAATTCACGCAAACTGGACTATAATATTCCCAAAAAAAATATTTTAAAAAAATAAAAAAATTAAGGCAAACTTGATTTTATTAATAAGATATGACTACTCAATTTACTTTCATTAGCCATCAGCATCACCTACGTGAAATTGTACATAATTGTTATTCCTTAGCACACATGTACACATGTCGCCAAAGCAAAAATTAGTTAGGAAAATGTTTAGGACTCCCTTTTGGAAGACCCTCACCACCCCTACAGTGATGTAGACTAATAATGTGTTTGTATTATTATTTTTTTTTTTCCATTTCTTACTTAGACCAATCACAAGTGAGTAGAGATTGTGAGGGTGATGTTTTGTGAGGGTCTCCATCATTACCGAATTAGTTAAATACATAAATAAAATATAAATAAGGTGGACATGGCTGCTATAGAATTGTCAGGGTTCACATGCCTGTGCTGCTGTGCAGAGATATATTTGCTAATTTATCTCTCTACCACTGAACTATGAGAACTAAAGACAATTCATGTAGTACTGGATAAGAATTCAATGGCTGTTCCTATTTTGAATTACCATGGTTTTGGGGGGATAGTACAAAGACATAAAAGAGACATTGATTTAAGCATTAGTATAGCCTATACAGCCAGTAAATTGGGTATAGATCTAATCTTCAATAAAAGGAATAAATTTTTAAAATTGATTAAGTCAACTATAATGAAACTCGTTTGTTATTGACTCAAAAATAAATAAAACAAATTTAAATACATTTTAAAATTCATTAAATTTTGAAGTCATGTTTGGTTCAAGTCAACTCATTTACCCTGCAATGTAACGAAAAATAGGACAAATTATAAAAACCCTGCACTTACAAGGGATCTAGCACATGTATCTTATTCTAAAAAAAAAAAAAACCATACACACACACACCATGTATCTAATTTGATTTAAATTGAAGTGAAAATGTGTGAATTTTTCAACTTTTCAAGTCCCTCCTAGAACCTTGGATGAATGAAGAACCAACTGACCTACCTTGGTCGGCTTAGTGAGAGACAAAATCTGCCCCATCCATTTCTTTTTACACGGCCGCATTGGTCGGCCGGGTGGGAGACAAAATTGACCTCATCTAATCATTTTTTGCGTGACCATATTGGTCAAGAGCATCACGTGCACATGCCACAATAATACTCCAGTACTACTTACATAATTTTCTCTATATTTTCAGCCTTTCAATGATTAACAAGCAAAAAAGTCCAGAAAACATTGAATTGAACCAGTGAAATTCCAAGTTCACTAAACATTTATGTCAAAACAAATATACAAGTTAAGCACAAGAATGACTTTGCTAAACATTTTGCATGATAGGAGTCTTCTATTAATACATACACGTGCTAGATTGTAACAACACTATCATCATCAGCAGCATCCCTGTCAGCATTCCCACCACGTTTAACCAGATTTGAACAGCAATACAGCTTTGGAGTCCAAATAGAAGTACACAAAGTGGTTTGTCTCATGAGTCACATAAGAACCTACACAAGAAAACCAGGAAAATGAAGAGATCAATGCAACTCTCATAACAACTCATAAATCCTTTTATTATGAACAAGACAATTACCCCAAAAAAGAAAAGAAAAAGAGTTCACTGTCATAATCATCTCAAAACCATGCAAATATCTTGAACAGCACAAATTCCTCAGAAGTGAGTATATCAACTCATATTCTCCAGAAATAAGTTTCAAAATATCTAGAACAACTCAAATTCTGACCATCATAAACTACACATCAATCAGCACTTAGGATGTGTGTGAGTGTGTATCATTAATGACCTCCAAAAGGGAAATCGACTTAGCATACCAATTATCACACACAATAAACTGTAAATGTACAACATATTATTCGGATGCTTCTTCTAAGATTGCAACATCAGTGACAAAGTCACCCGATATAACATACGTAACAATAAAAGAACTAATGGTAACAAACTCAATGGACTCTTTGCCAAAATTTCAATCATTTATCAGTAAAGGATCTTGAGTAGCCTCATTTCAAACATCATTAAGTTTTAGTAATTGATCCTTAAAAGTGATTTCATATCACATTGCAGTGGTTTCATGTATTGATATTCCAATTGTGGCATGTTAATCTAGGGTAAAAACATCGGGATCAACTGGGGCAGTACTTAGCCTGCAGACTGGACTAATAGTTTACCTTAAAATTTTCACACAAATATTTGTTATTGTTGCACAAAAAATTTCTTATTCATTTTTAGCATATACAAAAATGTGACTCCAATTGATTGGGACACAAGCCTTGGTTTGATTTGATATAATAAATAATGTGACTAAATTCTTAAAACTGCAGTTCTTTTCCACTGATTATCCAACACTTTGGATCTGTCAAAAGAAATTAAATTATTGAAGTTCAAGTTATTTGACCATCTTTTACAACCATGAGTGTTGTGTTTAATCATAGAGTAGAACTAATCTCATCTCTAGTTTAGACTGTAAAGTCTAGTTTACATGATTGTAGCCTCATTTTAGATTTATTTTGATTATTTAAATTAACTCAAGGGGAAATTATCCATAGGTCCCATGGGAAACATGTGATCTCCATTTAATCCCATAACTTTTTTACTACACCCAAAAGTCCTTTCTCCTCTCTCTCTGCTTTTTGCTTCCCTTCCTCTCTCGTTTTTTTTTCAACATTTTTCTGTCACCGTGTTTGTCATGGAAGAGGACCACCGGTGATCATATCTTTCTCCATTGATCGTGTTTCATTGATAACCACCAAGCATTGAAATCAACTCCGACGAAGAAGATGATATATTTTCCGACGAAGAAGATGAATGGATCTACTTAGATCTGATATAGATCTACTCAGATCTACATCAGATCTGAGTAGATCTACACAGATTTGGTTAGACATCCGTCTTTCCCCTTCTTACAGATTTTTTTTGGGATAGTTGTTGATCTATGGTTGTTGTTGTTGATGATGAAATAGATCTATAATATCATTGAAACAGATCTGTAATGACTCAGATTTGTACAGATATCACACAGATTTGTAATGAGAAAATTTTCGAATTCTGAACAAGTAATTTTCGAGTTTTAGTTACAGGCGGTGAAAACTGTAAAATTTTGCAGTTTCAAATTTTTTTTTTGGTGCTGGAATGAATCATGGTTTAAAACTGTAAAATTTTGCAGTTTTATAACATTCTTTAGAACTGTAAAATTTTACAGTTTCATAACATGTTTTTTAATTTTTTTTTTCCGGCAATATTCTAGACATTCTGGTGAGTCTCCGGCGATCGTTAAACGGAAGTCCGACGGTAGTAAGATGTGAACAGTGTCTATAAATTAAAAAAAAAAAAAGATTTTTTGGTAACAATTAAAAATGTGTTGGACTAATTGGTGTAAGTATTTTGTTTTGGGATTAGTTGGGTTTTGAACTTGTTACATGAGACTTATCAGTAAGTTCCCCATTATTCAATCTATAAAGATCGCTAAGCAAATTGTGCACACACAAAAATCAACATATCAAATTACAATAGCTACCTTATCAAATTATATTTCTTCTTAAAAAATAAAAAATAAATGGTAAGTATAATTTAAAAAATAGACAGTCAATTATTATTATACAAAAATAAATTGTTCATATGTTTACCGATACCAAATTAACTTAATAATTAATTTACTCGATAAATTCTACACGTTGAGTGATTTACATCACCAAAATAATCTACAGATGAGCTCAAATTCACGCAAACTGGACTATAATATTTCCAAAAAAAATATTTAAAAAAAATAAAAAAATTAAGTTAAACTTGATTTTATAAATAAGATATGACTACTCAATTTACTTTCATTAGCCATCAGCATCACCTACGTGAAATTGTACATAATTGTTATTCCTTAGCACACATGTACACATGTCGCCAAAGCAAAAATTAGTTAGGAAAATGTTTAGGACTCCCTTTTGGAAGACCCTCACCACCCCTACAGTGATGTAGACTAATAATGTGTTTGTATTATTATTTTTTTTTTTCCATTTCTTACTTGAACCAATCACAAGTGAGTAGAGATTGTGGGGGTGATGTTTTGTGAGGGTCTCCATCATTACCGAATTAGTTAAATACATAAATAAAATATAAATAAGGTGGACATGGCTGCTATAGAATTGTCAGGGTTCACATGCCTGTGCTGCTGTGCAGAGATATATTTGCTAATTTATCTCTCTACCACTGAACTATGAGAACTAAAGACAATTCATGTAGTACTGGATAAGAATTCAATGGCTGTTCCTATTTTGAATTACCATGGTTTTGGGGGGATAGTACAAAGACATAAAAGAGACATTGATTTAAGCATTAGTATAGCCTATACAGCCAGTAAATTGGGTATAGATCTAATCTTCAATAAAAGGAATAAATTTTTAAAATTGATTAAGTCAACTATAATGAAACTCGTTTGTTATTGACTCAAAAATAAATAAAACAAATTTAAATACATTTTGAAATTCATTAAATTTTGAAGTCATGTTTGGTTCAAGTTAACTCATTTACCCTGCAATGTAACGAAAAATAGGACAAATTATAAAAACCCTACACTTACAAGGGATCTAGCACATGTATCTTATTCCTAAAAAAAAAAAAACCATACACACACACACCATGTATCTAATTTGATTTAAATTGAAGTGAAAATGTGTGAATTTTTCAACTTTTCAAGTCCCTCCTAGAACCTTGGATGAATGAAGAACCAACTGACCTACCTTGGTCGGCTTAGTGAGAGACAAAATCTGCCCCATCCATTTCTTTTTACACGGCCGCATTGGTCGGCCGGGTGGGAGACAAAATTGACCTCATCTAATCATTTTTTGCGTGACCATATTGGTCAAGAGCATCACGTGCACATGCCACAATAATACTCCAGTACTACTTACATAATTTTCTCTATATTTTCAGCCTTTCAATGATTAACAAGCAAAAAAGTCCAGAAAACATTGAATTGAACCAGTGAAATTCCAAGTTCACTAAACATTTATGTCAAAACAAATATACAAGTTAAGCACAAGAATGACTTTGCTAAACATTTTGCATGATAGGAGTCTTCTATTAATACATACACGTGCTAGATTGTAACAACACTATCATCATCAGCAGCATCCCTGTCAGCATTCCCACCACGTTTAACCAGATTTGAACAGCAATACAGCTTTGGAGTCCAAATAGAAGTACACAAAGTGGTTTGTCTCATGAGTCACATAAGAACCTACACAAGAAAACCAGGAAAATGAAGAGATCAATGCAACTCTCATAACAACTCATAAATCCTTTTATTATGAACAAGACAATTACCCCAAAAAAGAAAAGAAAAAGAGTTCACTGTCATAATCATCTCAAAACCATGCAAATATCTTGAACAGCACAAATTCCTCAGAAGTGAGTATATCAACTCATATTCTCCAGAAATAAGTTTCAAAATATCTAGAACAACTCAAATTCTGACCATCATAAACTACACATCAATCAGCACTTAGGATGTGTGTGAGTGTGTATCATTAATGACCTCCAAAAGGGAAATCGACTTAGCATACCAATTATCACACACAATAAACTGTAAATGTACAACATATTATTCGGATGCTTCTTCTAAGATTGCAACATCAGTGACAAAGTCACCCGATATAACATACGTAACAATAAAAGAACTAATGGTAACAAACTCAATGGACTCTTTGCCAAAATTTCAATCATTTATCAGTAAAGGATCTTGAGTAGCCTCATTTCAAACATCATTAAGTTTTAGTAATTGATCCTTAAAAGTGATTTCATATCACATTGCAGTGGTTTCATGTATTGATATTCCAATTGTGGCATGTTAATCTAGGGTAAAAACATCGGGATCAACTGGGGCAGTACTTAGCCTGCAGACTGGACTAATAGTTTACCTTAAAATTTTCACACAAATATTTGTTATTGTTGCACAAAAAATTTCTTATTCATTTTTAGCATATACAAAAATGTGACTCCAATTGATTGGGACACAAGCCTTGGTTTGATTTGATATAATAAATAATGTGACTAAATTCTTAAAACTGCAGTTCTTTTCCACTGATTATCCAACACTTTGGATCTGTCAAAAGAAATTAAATTATTGAAGTTCATTATAACAAAGAAAAGTTACATAATCCAATTCCACTATAAGTAATGCCAAATTGAAACTACTTTATCATATTTTCAGACTAATGTTGCATAAAATCATCAAAATTCAAAATTGTGAGCAAAAATACAATCATTTTCTGTAGTTTTATAGTATATATAGTGATCATGGACAAGAAATGATCAAGAAAAGCTAAACAAAAGCTACTTTCTATAATGTAGGAGCCATAGCTGATTTTAAACTGTTTTGACATTCTGCTGGGTTAATTTCTTTGAATCATGTGAACTAAAATCATCCCACCAGATCACTGACAGGCTACTTGTGATTCTGAGACCCTTCAAATGCATCATCCACCCAACTAATGTGTTCGAATAACCATGAAACAATAGAACATAACTAGCATCACCATTCTTGGAAAATATGAGTACATAATAGACTAGCGGTCATAGGCATAGTTATATTACAATGGTATGAAGATTACCAAAAATCAAAAAACCTCTCCACCATGGATAGGCTTACAAAATCCACAAGAAGTAGAATGACATGCTGAGAGAACTACAATACATTCTGAAGTAATCATTTATTATCAAAATTATGACTACTTCAGGCAAGAACTCATCTGTTGGTCCACTCTCTAACTGCCAGTATTACCATATTTAGGATTATTGAAGTGTCTTTCTATTTTTAGAATTCTCTTTTTGATATAATACAACTTTCTAAACACCAGATAAAGCTGGACATAAATTATAAATATCATAAAAATATAAACCATTTAGTGAAAATCAGTAATGGTTCAGTCCACCATGGCACCACCATGTTTCAGTATCATTTACACAAAAATATAACCCAGCCCAACTCCCAACTCACTCAGTCAACATTTTTCTTTTCTGGATTTTTCTTGTTTAAGGCAGACTAGTCAACACGCTTCTCATCATAAACCAAAGTCATACGTAGGTATTCTATCTGACCCATTCACTTCCAACGGGCATTGGCAAAAATAAGATAGTTCAGATATACACAATTCAAAATTTCATGCAAGGCAACCTTAAGAATGTGTGACATGCATCTTTAATAACTTTTTCTTCCACTCGTGGTTTTTGTTTGTCATTTTTTTGGGGGGTCAGGTCTTTGAATCATAGTAAGTGGCAACCATTTGAGGACAATTATGTATCCTCAGCAGGTGGATCAAATAAGAACTCTCTCTCTCTCTCTATATATATATATGTATGTATGTGTGTTATAATCAATGTTTACTATGTGCAAACAAATATTTAGTGCTGACACCACCAATCAACAAAAGATTGTAAATGGGATTGAGCAAACATCATTCTCTCTCACCAACCCAGCCAAGTAGTCCCCAATAACACAATGTAAGATCTCGTATATAAAGTGTACACCTAAGTTAGTGTGATCGTTGTCACATTTTGTACATTTTCAAGAATGCTCTTCCCACCCAGTAATTCACTCCAATAACTGTTAGAATAATTTTTATCCTTCATCAAAACGTCCAAAACTACTAATCAATTTTCTCAATCATCAAACTATCCAAATTTTAAATATAAATTTGCAAGCACTTGTACACACCGCTAATACAAGTAAGATTAATGATTCATCCACCAAATTTGTTTAGACCAAATTCGCCCGAATGAGTCTCTTCCCGGAAGAGACTCCCGTGAGCGATTTTATTCCCGGAACGAGACTCATTCAAGTGAATTCAGGCTAAGCAAATTCAGTGAATATAGTGGCGCTGTACATGAAATACACAGATACCAATAAATGAAAAGGGGGCAATGTATGCAACATCTGATAATGCAAGAATAAGGAAATTGGCATCCGATCTAAGCCTAGATCAATACTATTCTCTAACAGCACAAGAATCACATCCAAATATCATAAAAAGGACATAAATGTATCCACACACAACTTTCTATAACAATCTCATCAGAATTCAGATAATATCAATTAACATTTGTCAAACACATGAAATACTTATAATTTCACAAATCTGAAGGAAAAAAAAAAAAAAAAAGGAAAGAATTTGGAGCATACTTACCGAAATTTTTGCCTACGATACAATGCCAAGTAGGGCCATGCTTCCTATCGAACTCCTTCTTTATGTGCTCTGCTACATCCTTCTCTACATTGTTCTTCTCAAACGCCTACACAAACATATTATATATACATACATATATATATGAATCAGTGTTTGATAGAAAGTGAAAAGTAACGAAAACTATGTATTTTTAGAGAGAGAGAGAGAGAGAGAGAGAGAGAGAGAGAGAGAAAAGGGGGATACGGAGATGGCGATTTCGATGGCCTCCTTCTGCATGTCGTCCTTCATGTCGGCGCTCTTGATGATGACTTTTTTCGCCGGAGAGGGAGGCGCTGCCGCCGACGAGGGCTTCCGATCGTCGGAGGGGGCTTTGATGACCAGAGCTCCGGCTCCGATTCTTTTTGCGTCTTCACTCATTTCCCTTCTGATTTTGATTTTTCGATTGCTGGAGAGAGAGAGAGAGGGAGAGGGGTTTTTGTTTGTTGGTAGAGAGAGTAGAACAGAAGGAAAGCAGGGGAATGTAGTGAGAGCGTGTGTTTTAAAACACAACTCGGACGTGGTCTTACCGATTTCTTCCTACCGGTCTCCTCTCGACAAAAAATTATTTGGTGCTTCAGGCTCATCACGTAGCGCATCTCCAATCCTGTTTTTAGATTTTTTATTAAATTTAAATTTGGTAAAACGTATTAGAGCATCCGTATCATTCTCAGTAAATTTTGAGTCAAATTATAATTTAAAAAGTCATTTTTTAAAAAGTCATTTTTTTATTTTAGTTAGTCACCTACTGCATCAAACTCTCTATTTTAATTCAATCCTATTAAAATATTTGTTATTTTTTTTTTATAATTAAATTGATAACCTATCAACTAAACAATTCTTATGTTTTACAAAAGATAAAACTGAAGGAAATGTAAAAAAATAAAAATAAAAAATTGTCGTTGACCGGCCGAACGTCCAGTTACACCCAAATCACGTGTTATAGCGATGAACAGTTCTTCGCTTCATCAGAAGAGTTACTGTAGCAAATTTAACAAAAAGTTAATTTAACAAAAATTTGTTGAGATTGATGGAGGGAGAATTTGATGATTTATTAGTTATATTTTAACTTTTTGTTATTTTGAAGATACTGATGCTGATGCTTTTACATTTTGGGCTCCAATTGTGGCATAAATCCGTATCAAATAGGAGAAGAAATCAAAAAATTTATCAAATTAATTGAGTATTTAATATTTCATCAAATTTTATAAGTGACTATTGGTGAACGATCGGGTGAATGACCGACCGGATAACTAGTTAGATGACTAGATAGGGCTGTTCAAAAATTCGTTCAAACCGGTAATCCGGACCGAACCAGACTGAATTATACGGTTTGGTTCGGTTCTATTAAAAATTGGTTCGGTTACGGATTAAGAAATATGAGAACCGTAAAAACGGTTCGGTTAATGGATTTTATGAAAAAAATCGCGGTTCGAACCGAACTGAACCGAACCGATTTTTTTTTTTTAAAAAAAATATATATATATATATATATATAATATCAAGTTTTATTTTTATTAATTGATTTTTTATAATTTTAATGATATTAGGATGGTATATATATGTAATATTAAGTAATGCCTTAATATTATTAGTTTTTATCATGGGTTAAATGTAATTAGTTTGAATAATTATTTTGCTAATATTAATAAATTATTCTTGTAAATAGAAATTTTTGGAACCGTAAACCAAACCGAAATCGAACCGTTTTTTCGGTTTGGTTCTGGTCCGGTTTTACAAGTGTAACGGTCTAGTCTGATTCTCAAAATCACAGAACCGTTAGGATTGGTTCGGTTCTTGGATTTTCTCAGAATTGAACCAATTCGGACCGTGTACACCCCTATGACTAGATTGAGGAAGATTCAATGAAAATTTACTTTAGGCCAGACAACTGACCCGATTTGATCAAACGATTGAAGTGCGTCATATCAAATCAAACTATTACTCAAATTTAATAAAGCGTTAGAGATGCACTTAGTCATGTTCCTCACTAATCACTAAAATATTATGCATTTTACTGTTTCACATGACTTTGCGGCAATTTGGCAACCCAATTAAAAGCTAACTTTTAATTTTTAACTCATTTTGAGTCACACCATCTTTCACATTTTTTACACAGAAACTATAGCGATCCCGGTTGTCCCTTTACTGTTCTGTTGTGTTCCGGACTCAGTTCCGTGAAGTTGGTAGTGGTATCTATCTTGTTGTCGTCCTTTAATTCCACTTGATTGAGTTTTAGGATGTTTTGAGCAAGGTTGCTACAGGTTGGTTAGGCCTTGGTTTCAATTCCTTGTTGTCCAGTTTTTAGGCGGTTCGCTCGAGCGGGTCTTCTTGCGCTCGAACGGGGATTGCACACCTCCAGTATTTCGTGTTCCTACAAAACTTCTGCAGATGTGATTTTTATGCTTGAGCGGGTTTGTTTACGCTCGAGCAGTAGAGCTCGAGCGGGTTTGGTGGTGCTCGAGCGGGTAGTACTTTCTGGGTATAAGTTCTGGGAGGTGGAAATCTACGCTTGAGCGGACTGGTTTTTGCGCTCGAGCGGAAGTGTTTTATTCTTGTGTCTTGGCGCTCGAGCGGGCCTTATTGCGCTCGAGCGTGTTCAGATTTTTGTTCTTGGCGCTCGAGCGTTGTGTTCTCCGCTCGAGCGGGTCATACGTATATGAGTTATCCGCTGGGTGATTTTAAATCACTTTTTACTTTTCTTTCTCTCTCCTACTTTTTCTAAAACTCATTTTTGAGAGCCGCTCTCTCTAGAAACTCCCTTCTCTCTAGGGTTTGATCTAGTTAGAGTGTCCTCCTTCTCTTTGGCCTTTGTAAAAGTTGTGTTGATTGTCGAGGGCGTCGTTTTGATCCGAGAATCTTGGTCTTTGGAGCACTTTGGTTTTGGTCTCTTCTCCATCCGAGCTCTAATTTCGAGGTAGGGATATACTACTTCTCTTTATGAGCTTGTCTTTAAATTTTAGTATTTTGAGATGTTGGGGTTGGTTTGGTAATTTGTGAAAGTTTGGGGCTTTTGTGTAAATTTACAAAAGTTGGGGTTTTAGCCATATAAATCCTAGATGCATGTTTGGCTTGGGAAAAGTATTAATGTTGAAACATTAACGAAAGTGGAACCTAAGGGTTGTAATGTTAATTATGGAAAATGCCCTAATTACATTGGTTAATTAATTTGCATAATTAATTATGAGAAATGAGGAATTGATTTGGAAAGATATGGGATTAAAGGGTGTAGTTGGATTATTTATCACTCACCTAGTTGGAATGTTGATTATATATCCATTGTTGCATTTATTTTCTGTATAGAAATAACTGCTTTGGGCGATCGGTGGAGGATAGTCTTGATTGTTGTAGACAATGCATGATGATTAGGCAAACTGAAACTAATCACTGGAATGTGTCATTAAGTATGACGGTTGAAAGAATACATTAAATTTATGTGTTGTGTGATGATGTATATAATTATTGTTTATATGCATTGTGTTGTGTTAGAGGAGATAGGGGATGTACTCCACGGTTTAGGGGAAGATAGGGGATGGACCTCTAAACCGGATGTTGTTGGGATGAGCTAGGGGATGGACTCCATAGATAGAGCTCACATGCTTATCTAGTAATGTGTTGACAAAGCTCATATGCTTGTCATTGGAAGTGTGATAGTGCTCTTATGCATATCTGTGGAAGTGATGATATAGCTTGTATGCTTATCTGTTGGTGTGTGATATAGCTTGTATGTTTATCTGTTGGTGTGTGATATAGCTAGTATGCTTATCTATTATGAAATGGGGAAGTGCTTAATATGAGTTACTGTCTCATATGAGTTGTTTGGCCAGGTTCTGAGCCATGGTTATAAATTGAGGATTGAAAAGAATTGGAAAATGGATTGTAATATGGACTTGTATGTCATGAAACTGTAAAGTGTAATAAGGAAAAGTATCAGTGTTGGCCATCTATCAACTGCTAATCTTTTAGTCATTGTTCATATTTGGTTTAGTATGCTTCTACTGGGCTGTGGCTCACCCTATATGGGAATATCATTTTCAGGTACAGGTAGCATGCCACCTCCAAGGACGTAGCTTGGGAGGCTAGAGGCAGGCGGACTTTTGTTGTTTTATTTCTTTGATGTATTACATGTATATTTAAGCCGAGGGCTTAATGTGTAAATGAGTTAGCACTCTTTTGCTGTAACCAAGTGTTAACTTGGAAAGCTGTAAGCCTTTAGGACATTTCCTTTTGTTGTTAACATGTAATATTTTTGGTAATGGAACTCTGATGAATAGCAGAAAGTGAAGCTTTTATATTTCAATGTATGTCTCTATTGATGGGTTTAATGTTATTTTTTTTGAGGGCGTGACAACTTGGTATCAGAGCGTACCGGGTTCGAATACTTTGGGTACGTGGGAAGTGATTAGGATCACAATGGGTTTGTCTCGCTTGATAGAGACTTAGATGTAGTGTCATATGCTATGTGCTTAATTGATAACATGCTTATGTGACTACGTGGGTATGGGATTTGGTTTCTAGGATGTTGATTGGATCCTTGGGTTTCTGTGAGTCTTGTTGGAAAGGCACTTGATCAATGCTGTTTCTAACCGGAACTCTAGTAACGCCTCGGGACTATCATTATTCGGAGATGAAATTTGTAAGTGCTTATGTGTTTATGTGCTTACGTGGAGTGAATTACAGTTGTCCATTTAGGACGCGAGTGTTTAGTTTTGGCACATTTGTGAATGTGCTAACGTTCTGTATTACCTTTATTAGGATGTCAGGGCGAGGAAGAGGTGCTAGGCGTGGTAGGCTTGCGAGGCAGGAAGTACCTTTACCGGATGATATTCCGGCAGTGCAGGAGGGTGTTGGTCAGGCCAATGTGGCCGAGCCAGCGGGTCAGCAGGCTATGAGTGCCTTGGCACGAGAGATAGCAGGAGCTTTGGGTATTATCAGAGCTGGAAATCAGGCAGCTGAGGCAGGGCCTTCTTTCTTGAAGAGGGAGTTCTTCCGGTCTAACCCGGATGAGTTTGTTGGAGATCTGAAGGAACCACTGAAGGCTGACGAGTGGTTAGAACAAATGAGTAAGACGTTCGAGATGCTTGGCATCGAGGACGGAGCATTGAAAGTGACCTTGGCATCTTTCCAACTGAAGGGAGATGCGGGTCAATGGTGGAAGTACGAGAAGCCTCGTGTTGGTGGTACATGGGAGGCGTTTGTGAATGCTTTCCAGGAGAGGTTCTTATCTGCAGTGGCTAGGGAGAAGCTGAGGGATCAGTTTAGCCGGCTCAATCAGCAGGGTATGTCTGTAGCAGAGTTTGAGGCCACTTTTACTAGTTTGTCCAGGTTTGCACCTGAGTTGGTGGCGTCCGAAGAACGCCGTTGCTATGAGTTTGAGCGGAAGTTGAGGCGGGGCCTCAAGTTGAGGGT